AATCCCAACTCCTCCTAAGAACAATGAAGTTTTCTGTATAACCACAATACAGTGATCAAATTTAGGGAGTATAAAATAACATCGATGTATTATTATTATCTTAAAAAGTAGTAGTAGTATATTATGTTATAAGCTAACCAGTTTGCAAGTTGTCCCAAAAGTGGCTCTTATAGCATATTTTAAAACCCAGTTCTGGGAAACAATCAGACTCATACATTAGATTTTTAGATTTACTTTTCAGGTCTCTTATCTCCCTTAATCTGAAACAGTTCCTCGGCCTTTCTTGCTCTTTTATGACATGGGAATTTTTGAAGAATACAATCAGTGGTTTTGTAAAAATATCCTTTTATTTGGATTTGATTGGTCATTTCCTAATGCTTAGACTCAGGTTTCACACTGTGGGCAGCAACACATGAGTGGTGTTGTATCCTCCTCAGTAAATTTCATCCGGAGGCACTTAGTCACTTGATTAAGGTGATAGCTGGTAAATATCTCCACCAAAAAAAGCATCTTTTCTTTCCTTTGAAAATGTCTATGGGTAGACATCTAGAGACTATGTAAAAAATACTGTTCCTCAACAAATTTTCACCCAGTTGTTTTAGCATCCATTGGTTATTGTTACCCAAATCAGTTATTACTATAGTGGTAGCAAAATGGTGACTTTCTAATTCTGTTATGCTTTCAGCTGGTGTTCTATTATGAAGGAGGGTTTTCCCATCCCTTCTACTTTAAAAAAATTATTCATTTATTGTATGTGCTTATGTTAATATGGACTTAAGGATTCTTATTTTGCTTAATGTTATAATCCTTTGCTGTCATTATTCATTTTGATGCTCAAATTTTGCTTTGGCAAGTGAAAGTTCATTCAAGTTGGATTTTATGTCCTTTTACTGTGTTTTCATTAGTTTTTGAGCACTCCTTAGTAGTTCCAATCAACATCTATTTTATTAATATATGTCACTATTAATAATAAAACTATTAAGTAAAATTAATGACTTTTTGCATATTTGTCTTTAAAATAAATCTCCCTAACATTATATAATCTAAGTACAATATTCAAAAGTTAGAATAATTCTTTTTGTGTATATGTGTATATATAACTTCAATATAAAGTTAGACTTAATTTGTTTATTTGTACTCAATTTTGTGAGTTTTTTCCCTGTCCTCCTTGATTTAATCTTTTTAAATATGTAAAATATTAACATGGTTCCACAAATAAAATTATATAGAATAATATATTTAGAATTATAAGTTCATTCCCTTTTCCTTTTCTGCTTCTCACTTACTCCATAAGTATCCTGGCATATCCTTCCTCTGTTCCTTTTTGAAAAAATCAGGGAGGAAAGAGAGAGAGATAGGTAGATAGAGAAGAGAGCAGGGGAGGTAGTCTTATTTTCCTTTATTTAGAAAAGGTAGTACACTGTACTATTTTGTACTTTGCTTCTTAAATTTAACAATGTATATAGAAATCTCTCCATATCCGTTTAAAGAAGTAATCCTCATTTTTTTTCTTTTTACAACTGCATAGTACTCCACAGTGAAGGTATATCATACTCTATCCAGTCAATTTTGTGTGTGTGAGCATTTAGGGTGCTTTCAGTATTTTACAATTTTTTTTTTTAATTTAATGAATAACTGTGCATATGTTTGGTCAGGTTTTTTTTTTTTTTTTTTTCTTATTGTTGGAAGCATATATTCAAAGTAAATTCCTACAAGTGAGATTGCTAGTTAAACAAATATAGAATGAGGAGCCTGGTGCTTCATAGGTCTGGGATTGCTGATTCAGAGGGTAAGGCATATGTAGTTTTACTAGATGTTGACAAATTCCCTCCATAGAAATGATACCATTTTGTATCTTCACCAACAGTGAATGAGAGCGTTTGTTTTCTCACAGCTTCCCCAGCAGAATATGTGGTGACATTTTGGGCCATTTGCCAATCTAATAGGAGAAATGGTATCTCAATTTAGATTTTTTTTTAAAGCATCTTATTTTGTTTTATTATTACTTTCAAGTATGTAGTACATTGGTTAGACATTTATATAGTTTATGAAATGATCCCCCTGATTACTTTATCAGTTTAGTGTTAATTTATACTTGTGTTATTATGAACAAGGTTGAATGAACTTTTCATTTAAATGGAGAATTTTAAATATTCGTTACTAAAAATGTTTGTCTTCATCCTAGATAATTTTTTAGATTAATATCATACTTAATAAATTTCTAAAGGTTCATATCATAGCCTACAACCAATTCGTAGTTTACTATTTGACAAGGACCTGCTTAACTCTTATTTGCCTACCATGACAGAATTTGCTCTGTGATGATGGTGACAGAAGCTTAAAAATGACCTTAAAGATACATGTAATTATATGACATCATAAACTCATATACAATAAAACTTCAGGTTAGAAAAACAAAAATCTAGGTTTTTTTCATGTATGTGTGTGTATGTTTATTTTGATTTTCATGTGAAGTTTTTTTGCTAATGAAAAGAAGCATTTGTAACAGATACTATGAATGGTAGATAACCTAAAAGTTACTAAAACTTTATATTTTAGTCATTTATTAACTTTCCATCAATATATCTTTATATTTTACCTATTAAATTATGTTTTAAGTCACCTACCTATATATTCCTTAATTGTATACTTACCGAAATGGAAAATTTACTATATAGTGAACTTTTCCACAAGAAAATCAGATAGCTAAATGTTTATGGAAATTAAGCAGCTTTGTAGTATTTGTTCCAATGATATAAATGTGTACTTACAAATATTTTTAATGCAATATCAACTAAATATTAGATAGAAAGCAGTAGATATTGCAAGTGGGGTATAGGAACAGATGATGTTGGACATTAATACCCTGATTTCTGATCATATTTAAATGACTCGTAGTTCCTTAGTTAAAACTTATTTTATAAATATGTCGAAAGCCTCATCTTTGCAAAATGATGTTCTTTCGGTTTCTAAGACAGACAAAAAGTAAAAATCTAATTCTTCTTAACAAATGCAAGTGTCCTCTTGCCTGGTGACCTCAGGTAACATTTCCAGAATGTGTACGGTGGATGACAATCGAGTTTGACCCTCAGTGTGGTACTGCACAGTCAGAAGATGTCCTTCGTTTGTTGATTCCTGTCAGAACTCTTCAAAATTCAGGATATGGACCAAAATTGACATCTATTCATGAAAATCTTAATTCCTGGATAGAATTAAAGAAATTTTCTGGATCTTCTGGTTGGCCTACTATGGTTTTAGTGTTACCAGGTAAGTAATTTTTTCTCTTCTGTTTTATATTGTAAAATATATGCATTTATGATACTTATATTTAGTAGGAATACATCGTTGAAAATGTTTAAGTTTTAGAAGGATTTCTTTAAGACCTACTGTGTATCTGGGTTGCAGGTGAGAAGTAAAGAATACTTTCTGGGCAAGGGGCGGTGTCTCGTGACCGACTTTTAGAAGAGAGAATATTTCGAGGAGCTTGTAAAAAAAGAGTAGCTTGACCAAAGTAGAGAGTTAATATTCAGGAGTGGCTGTCTGTATAGTTGGGACCAAATTATAGAAAAACTGTATTAGATCTTTTATTTTCCCAGTAAGTTCTAAATTTTGAGACCTTGCTAAGGATTCCTTCCTTTCAAGAGAATTGATGAACCACCTAACCTACTGGGTTGTTGTTTAAAACTACTGTTTTCAGTCAGGCTTGAGGATGTGTGCATACGTGCATGAGAGATAGAGAAACAGACACACAGACACAGAGAGACAGAGACAGAGACACACTGCACTTTTATTGCTGCTCCTGGTATTTTCCTTTAAAAAAAGTTTAAGTATTTAAAACTGTATGTAGAGTGTTCTGTTTTCAAGCAATTAACCATAACTACACTTGTGATCCCCTAAACTAATAGCCAGTTTGAATTCAGAAAGTTTTTCTTCCAGTCATCCTGCTTTGTTTATTTGTGAAGAGATCAGACAAAGCCAAACGCCAGGGTAAAGGATTGCTTGCTCTGAAACAGAAAAGGCTAACCTAGGTCACTTCAGTAATTGACAGAAAATTGAAAATTGATTGCTCATGTAAGTTAAAGGTAGGACATTTTATTTAGGAGAATTTGATCATAAAGAAAAAAAAAGACAGTCCATTTGGGATGGTTCCATTGTTTCTAGCACAGTTTTGTTAAAGTAGATACAGGAACCCTCCCCGCAAAGGCTAGGTTTTTTTAATATTTGATTTGTATTGCTACCTATCTTGACTTAGATAAAACATAAAGTCGTTTCAAGATTTTGAATTCTATGTTTGGTTTTTTCCTTAGGAAATGAGGCCCTTTTCTCATTGGAAACTGCATCAGATTATGTGAAAGATGACAAAGCTTCTTTCTATGGTTTCAAATGCTTTGCAATTGGATATGAGTTTAGCCCTGGACCTGATGAGGTAAGAATGAATTATCCTCTCATTCTGTTAAGGAAGATTGTGTTTCTAAGGGCTACTATTGACTTAAATTTATTTGCTTTCTTTACTTAAGAGCCAAATTTATTTTAAGCTAGAGTATTTAATTTAAAATATTTTGTACTTTAATTGTGTACAGTCGTCTGTTTTTGCTACTTTTAACATATGAAGAGAATGGAGTCTGTGCAATATGACCCAGGCTTTGAAGACCTAGTTCCAACCATGCACAGGTCGCTGTACCTTTCTAAATAAATAATAGAACCTGATTTCACAGTGGGACCAACTTAATATCTCTTCTGAGTGTTTCAAATCATACAACAAAAGCAAAATCAAGGGAAAAAATAATCATGTCTCCTCAAAGAAATGAATGAAAAATTCTTTGGACAGTGTACCTGGGGGCTCGAACCTTACAACCAGCATGAGACATAATATTAAGTCTCTTCCACTTTTTTTTTTTTTAAATATTAGTTTCAAGTATACAGCATAGCGATTAGACATTTGTATAATTTATAGAGTGATCCTCCCAAATCTCTTCCACTCTTAATTTAACTATGCTTTCTTCTAGTTTCAAAAGTTTTAGTTGAATGCAAGTCACATTTGTTGATAATCCACATTATCTTCCAAACATTTTTTAAAGCAATTAATATGTTTTTGCAATTATACAGGGAGTCATTCATTTGGAAAAAGAATTAGCCAATCTTGGTGGGGTTTGTGCAGCAGCTTTGATGAAAAAGGACCTAGCACTTCCTATTGGTGAGTCTGGGCAAATACTAGGTGTTTGTTTACGATTTTTAAAAGAAATTTAAGAATAGAGTACGTTTATTATAGTACCTTTATTATATATTACTTTTAAAAAATAGGTTAGCAAAATGAATTCCATAGTCACATACACTCATGAGCAATAGCTGCTTAATATCCTGGTAGTTTGGGATTTTTGGAGACTGAAGAGTATCTTCAAGTCTTTTGTGTTCACACGTACGCATGCACACAAACACTCTTCTTTATTCATATACATGCTATGTGCCAGGCATTTATTTGGGTTAAGCACCAAATCTATAGTATTAAACCAAAGGTTTGAGATATTTTTTAAATATTCTAGTGGACATACCAAGTAGAAAACTTGAACTCATTGTCTGAAGCTCAGGGAACGAGTCAAGAGAAATGTTATTTGAACATAATTGATATTTAAACACACAAGACCATATGAAAGATGAGCTAGGAAGAGAATGCAAATGAGAAAGAGAAGAGCCCAGGATCAAAGCTAGGGCTTGCCAAAATTTCAAAGTGGACAAAATAGGAGGAAAAAACTGGAAAAAGACTGTGATGGAGCAGCAGCCAGCGAGGCAGAAGTGAAACCAGGAGAGTGGGTATTCATGGGATTTTGAATGGAAAGTCAGGAAGGAGAGTCAGGTTGATAAAAGGTATCTGGAGGAGTTTTCATGTGAAGCAGAACAGAGGAATGAGGCAGTGGCAGAAACGGTTTCTTTTTGAGATGCAGAGTGGTGTGATATGTAAGAATTCATAATCAAGATAGCAAAGAAGAAAATAAATTTAAAAATGTTTACCAATTTTATGACATGTAACTATAGTTTAACATTTTATTTCCACAGTATTTGGTAATAAAAAGCATTATGTTTATATTTCCCCAATGCTCACCCCTGAAAGTTTATCTATATCTCTTCCCTTTGAGACTACCCTTCTCACTTGATCCTTTCTTTCTTCCCATCTCTCTTTCTCTCCTGTTCTTTTTTATTCTCTTTCTTCCTCCTGCTACCTTTTGTCTTTCCTAGTTCCCTCGCTCTTGCTTAATGTTGACATATATGAGAAAAGGAGACATCTTCTATTCTAATTGTATAGGAAAATTAGTACAACCTCTTTGAAGGAAATGTGTCAATAACTTCAAATTTTATATTCATATACTTCTTGATGTAGCAATTTTTATACATACTTGCACAAGTGCTCAAAAAATATATGTTGTAAGATAGATTAATATAACAATGCTTATGATTGTAAAAATGAGAAGTAACCAGAATGCCTATCAGTTGGAAACTGGTTAAAGAAGTAATAGTATATCCGTACAGTGGGAATGTATGTAACTGTTTAAAAACAACAAAACAATTAGCCCTCAATGTCACGACCCTAAAAGATGTCCAAAATATATTAACTGAGAAAAACAAGTTGCAGAAGTGGGCCCCATTTTTACAAACATTATCTTATGTATAAATATATATGTATGTTCACATATGTGCATTATGTTGACATACACACACATTTATTATTTGTACACAAAGTTTCTAGAACAATACATAAGAAATTGTTGACACTTTATGTTTGGGTGGGGAGTGGTGGCAGAAGTATTTATTCTGTCCTTCAGTATAATTTGAATATTTCCCTTTGAACATGTATTACTTTAGAAATGATATTTTATAAATTAAGCTATCCAAGAAAATTTAATAAATAAAATGTGTTCTGTATTAAGCCATAAAGGAGAAAATAGCTAGAGGATATAGTCACTACCTTAGGTTTTCCTGCCACTTAGGAAAGGTATAGCTCTTCTATATGATAACCAAAATAAAATGGCTCAGATTCTGAATAACCAGTTTCCTTATTTTTTACAAAAATTTTACATTTATATGCATAAATATAGTATAAAGCTTTTGCATATCACTCAAATAATGTATTTTTTGAGTATTGTCTTGAGACTTATAGCTTATATTCACAGTGAAAATGTAATTACATTTTAAAATATAAACCACTGAGATTTATCCTGAATGATAATAATTCTTTTCAATCTGAAATATCAGAATTGTGAAAAAGGTAAAAGAATGCAAAAGACTAGAAAGTTAAACTAAGTATTGATATATTTTAGTAAAACTTTTATTTACACAACAGGTAATGAATTAGAGGAAGATCTTGAAATTCTTGAAGAGGCTGCATTACAGGTATTGTCCCAAACATTGTAAGGATAAACTTTGTACATTAATTTAAATGATCTGATTTAAACAATCAGATCAACCTTAATTTTTTTGGAAATAGGACTCATTCATTAAATACTTCATTCTGTTCACTGGTGGTTATAAAGATAAATAATTTATAATTTCTCCCATTGATGAGAGACACACATGTGAGTCCTTGCTGTGCTGCATGGTGTGTGTTAACTCTGGAGCGAGACATAAATTCTATGGGAGAAGGAAGAGCTATCAAGTGCCAAGGGTGTAGGGGAAAGCTTTGCAGACCTGTGGGCATGTAGAGTGGATCTTGAAAGTTATTAACCAGTTTGAAAAAAAGGGCGGAAAGGTTTTAGTAGTAATTTAAATAATATCTATAGAGCACTCTAATTTACGATATCTTTAATATTACCTATTTTTGCAATCACACTTTGAGGTAGGTATTTATCTCTTGAGTCTTACCAATAAGTGAAGTTTAGAAAAGTTATGTGACTTGTCTAAGAATTCAGCTAACTGGGAGATAGAGGCTAGTATCTAGGTCTTCTAATACCTACAACTAGTGGTTTGTATTGTATTTCTTGAGATAAACTGATCATAGCATTAATAATAAAAAACACTTATTTAACTTTATCAAGTACTATTTCAAACACTTGGCATATTTTTAAATCATTTAGTCCTCACAGCAACTCTATGAATTAGAGACTCTTATCTCTATTTACAGATAAGGAAACTGAGGCAAGGAAAGCTTAAGTGACTTACCCAGAATCACACAGCTAGTAAGCAACTGGGCTAGAATTTGACCTCTGAAAGTTTGGTGACAAAAGTCCATGATCTGGATCATATGTGTAATCATAGGGAGCCACGGTGTCCTCAGTAATGTTAAGAAATTTCTGAATTTTAAAAACCCACCAGCTTTTGTTTTTGTTTTAAAAGAAAAGTTAAATCCGTACCTTACGATACAAAAATAAAAATTAATTCAACAAATATTTAATAAACAATATGTGTCAGATAACTTTTTAGTTAAGGAGAACCATCAAAGAGTTCATATATTATTATATTTGTTATGTCAAGTAGTCGTGGTGGTCTAACACATATTAAACACCTAAAACTTGTTAGGCAATGTAGTGTGTATTTTATAAATGTTATTTAACTTATATTTTAAAATAACCCAAATAACTTTATTTGATCACCAGTTTATACATTTTACAGATTCAAGAAGGTCTGTAACTTGTTAGCTGAAGAGCATACAGCAATCACTGGTCCAAAGCCAGGATTCAAATTCAAGTTTATTTGATTTCAAAAATCATGATTTTTGAAATTGCGTAACTTGGGGAATGCAGAAGTTACTGTTGTGTAAACTTGACAGTACTGGAACTATAATCCTTTTCTATGAAAAATGTTTTGTTTCAAAATTTATAATCATTAAAAAGTTTCTAGTTTCAGCATTTAAAGCAGGTCTTTCTAAAATGTAGGCTTGCTTGTCAAATAGGTGAGGACTAAAATTTCGATTTTATCTGCCTCTTTTTCTTAACATTAACCAGACTTAGATAGGCTGATGCAGTTTATGTGCAGCCACAACAATCAAGCTTCCATCCACTTTTTACCCAAGTCAAGACCTTGGTACCCCGTACTCCCACCACCCGTGAGACGGGCAGACACACCTACCCATGATACCCCCTGCCCCCACCACCCATGAGAGCAGACACACCTACCCATGATAGCTGCCAATAATGGAGACGCAGAAAGAGGGGGGCCTCCACAACTGCCTATAGAAGGGAGCCCTGGCCTTGACAAATGGGGATGTAACATGTAGAGGGCTGGGGGGGTATGCACCATTTGCAGCAGCATGTGGGTCTGAAAAGTCCCTTATTCTTGTGGGAGGAAAGACTCTGGAAGTATTATCCCATAGCTTTTCCTCCTGGAAGTTTTCTACTTTATAAGCTAAAGGAACACTGGGGCATGGGGAGAAAATGATTTCTCCAAAAAAGCCTATCAAAAATTGTGTGCACGTTAAAAAATTCATGTAATTAAAGCTTTATATTTTAAAATACATAAATATTCTCTCTTATCCAACAGGTGTGCAAAACCCATTCTGGTATTCTTGGAAAGGGTTTAGCTCTTTCTCATTCACCAACTATATTAGAGGCACTGGAAGGAAACTTACCACTTCAAATCCAAAGCAATGAACAGTCCTTCCTGGATGATTTTATTGCTTGTGTTCCAGGATCAAGTGGTGGAAGGCTTGCAAGGTAAGGCACTCGGAGTATGACAGTTGCTTTCTCTCAGGGCTTGCCTCAGCCTTCATATCTGAAGAGAAATGAAAGGGGAATCCATCAGGATATTAAAAATGCTGCCTAAAATAATCTGATTTTGAACTTGCTGAAGTATAAAATGGTACTTAATATTTCAAAATATTTTAAAAATATATGATACTTGTTAGTTGATTATTTTAAAGTGTCCTAGATTAACTTTGATTTAAAAAAAGATGTGGAACATAGTATAATTGAGGAGTCTTTATACTGAGTAGTAATATTTAATATCTAACTAAATTCCTAAATATATTGCTATATTTTGTTTTAATGAGTTTTTTCAAATCTACAGTTAATACAAATATAAATTTAGAATTTAAGTCAGATTATTTGAGGTTGTAGAATTCTCATTTATTTTGTTGCTTTTTTTTTTTTTTAAGATTAAAAAATATGCTGGCTTGTGTGATTTTTCTAGTAAATGTAGGAATCTAACTTCTTCCTAGTTTTAATTTTAAAAATATAGAGGTTGCTCTTTAGTTTTATAAAACCAAAATGGTGATTGGAGAAGAATAGAAAATCAAATTTTAAGTCAGCCTTACTACTGTATTTGTGGACATTTTTACACGTGACAGAAGTACTTATTACTCACTCACCTCACAACTTGAATATAGATCATGGAATGAATTCAGGAATGGCTTTCACAAAATATAGAAAGTTGGCAAAATTGGTAAAAAAAAAAAGGAAGTTGAGAAAATGGACAGGACAGCTTTAACCTAACTCCTCAAGGAAGCAGAATGCCATTTCTGTCCCTGCTTTTATAGAGAAGCTGCTCTTGCCCAGGCTTTCGGGCTGACAAGTTAAGGTGGAGCTCCCTCAGTAAGAATAAGTGTCCTAGGCACTTCAAGTTATACTCAGCCTAAATTCATTGCCTTGGTTATTTTAAATCAGCCAGAATTAAAATTTCATTTTCTGATTTTAAAATTATTTCTGTTTTATTTGTAAACCTCAGAAATCTCATATGCTTGGCATATTTTGTAATGAATCTGTCATTAACAAATTACTTCCAAGGAAGACAGTTGTAATTATGTCTGAATTAGAAATGAAGATATTGATTTATCATTTTGTTTGATACATGTTTTACTCGTTTGACTTACTCAGTGACAATGTTGATGAATGTTTGGTTTTTTGTGTGCTTGTTTCTTTTATTACTGGAAGGTGGCTTCAGCCAGATTCCTATGCTGATCCTCAGAAAACATCTTTGATCCTGAACAAGGATGATATTCGTTGTGGTTGGCCTACCACCATAACAGTTCAAACAAAAGACCAGTATGGAGATGTGGTACACGTTCCCAATATGAAGGTAATTATATCAAAATTAAATTAGTAGACATCTGTGCATGGCTATTGTGAATAATAAAATTTTAGAAATGGCAAGTGCCTGGAGTCCATTTGCAATACCCTCTTTACATATATGTAATGGAGGAAGCCAAAAAATTGTTTAAGTGATTTGTTTATGTTGAGTAGTATCCAGTGTTCCAAGCTATATGTTTTTGTTTGTTTTTTACATTTCACTAGGTGCTTTGGTGATTCAAAGGAAGGATAGGGAAAGTGTCTGCAGAAAGAGTGCTAAGCACATAGAGGAAAGGCCCTCAATACGTAATGATTAAATAAACCAGTAAAAGAATACATTTTAAAATTTTGTATGTATCTTTTAAAAGGCTCAAATACATTTTGTATTTGGTACTATTGAAACAATATTTAAAATATAATAATGATATTTATCAAATATTAGTAATAAATGAACTTGTGTTATAAAAGAATGAGTAATGGAAACAGTTACAGGTAATGTGTTGATGAATATAGTTCTTTGTATACCTCGTCCCTGAGACATTAATAATGACATTCTAGAGAATATTGTAACATAAAATTAAGTTCTTTTGTGATATTACCTATTAATGTAAATTTCTCATTTAAAACTTGTTACATTTCTGGAAAAAAAAATCAATATTGAATGCAAGTTTATATAGATAATCCCAGCTGCCTCACCCCTCAAAACTGTATTACAAAGAAATTTGATTGTTTGGGTTTAGAGTTGATTAAACCACAAAATCCTTTTTACTTACAGAGCAACTGATTTTACCTCAGAATTACTTTTAATAGAACTGTTCCAACTACTTGGTACATTCTTTGATTTATAGCATGAAGAAGCACAATGCCAATGAAACGTTTTACCTGACTCATAGTAAGAAAAGGCAAGAGACATATATAGTTCATATATATAGTCTTAAGACATATATAGTCTTAAGACCAATAAGTAAAATTGTATGGAAGAGTATCTGACCCTGATATTAAACAAAAGTCTGTCTGTACCAGTGGCCTTCAGTATATGTGCTACCTAAGCGAGCACTACCACTAGCTTTCAAAGTTTTGGCCATGACCCACAGTAAGGATTTCAGTCATGACCCAAACATACATATATAGGATGGAATAGTATATACGCTTAATTACATAAAATATATATAATATGTTTACATAGTATGATATTTGCACTTCTCTATCATACACTATGATATTTTCACTTCTCTCTTTTTTAAGGAAGAACATGTCTCATCCAAGTGATTTCATGCCCTCTATGAATTACTCTGTGGAATGCAAAAAACAAATTATAAGAAAAAAATTGAATAGAGCATGAAGTAACCCTGATAGTGATACGAAAAAAATGTCTCTGCGGACAGAATTTTTATCATAATGCAATACATATTAATATGTCGAGGGGCTAATGTATTATTCACTGATGAATTTCTCACTCAGGTGTATGTAGTGAGTTGTTAAATTCAATCTTTGAGCCCACAATAAGTTTCTTATTTGTGTGACTACATTGTAATAACCATTTACCAGGTCAGCATAATATTTCTAAGGTTCCTACTGGAATGCTTATAGTATTTCTTTAGTTGTATTTTCTTATGTTTCCTCCTCTGTGTATTTTGCTGTCTCTTACTTCATTTTGATATTTGGTTTGTTTATATCTTACATTTCAAAGTCAGACATTATGCTTTATTTTGCTCTCCTCCTCTTTGGCTTCTTTTTTTGTCCACATGATCTATCTTTCTATAATTCCTCTTTTTCTCCTATATATTTTGCTTCTCCCACTCTGTCCTCCTTTACACTAAACTTCTAATTATGCTCAAAATCCGTATCAGATTTATCTCTAATTTAGAAACCATATCTAAGAAAGTCCTAAAAATATTATTTAGGAAAAGTGATTTGTTGATGTTTAATTTATTAATATCATATTATCATATTAGCTGAAAACAGACTTAATCTTTATTTTCAGCCTAATAGCACATGAAGCTTTAGGAGCATTTTAGACTTACCAAAATTTATTGAAGTATCTTTATGTAATAATAGCCAGTTATTTGAAACATAAAAATTGGTTTGCAGCTAATATTTTAGTGAGATCCCAAATGCTTTTTAAGTAGCAAGTGGTACTGTTATTTTTTTAACTCATAAATTGATTTTCCAAGGAAATCTTATTTAGTGAAAAAAAAGACAGTCACATAGGAAATAAAAAAATAGCAAAGAAATTTTAAAGAAACAGTGTAAAAGAAACAAAGTAGTTATCATTCTACAATGTCTTAATACTCAATATATTATTCAGTGATTTACTTGAAGATTCATAGTATATAGGCAACTGTACTTTTAATGTTAACTTACTTAGAGTAAATATAATTGTTTAAATAAAGATTAAACCAAAATAGTATGTATAAAAATACTGGCAGTGTACATGAGTTGAAGAATTTTACTATATATCTTTAAAATTCTGTATTGTAAATATATAAGATAGATTTTAATATTTTTAGGGCATTATATCAGGTCAAATACTGATCTGTCTCTTAACTCCAACTAAAAAAGATTCTGGGTATTTAATGGAACATATTTGCCAGCTGCACTTAATTTTATGTAGGCAGTAAGAGTCTCAAATAACTGACTCCTTAGAATGGCGTTAATAAGAACAATAAACATTAAAGACACTGCACAGTTCTGGGATGCCCCTGGATTATTTAAGTAATACTTTTACTTTCATTTATGTTTTCTGTACTATTTCTATAAAGATCTTATTGTTAATTCTTAGCTGTGCTTGCCAACCACAAACATAGTGTCTGAAAGGAAGAGAAAAAACTTTGAACCTCAGAATGATGATACTTGATAAAGAGCTAAAGTGGTATTTAAATTGTAACTCTGAGGTTACCTAGGAATCAGGTGGTTTGTGCTAATGCTTAACAAATACACAAACAGCAATAATGTGTTTTATTATAATTCTTGGAAGGTATTTCTGAGTACTGTTTATAAAATAATTTATACTTTCAGTGTTTTAACATGCCTTAGCAAATCTGTTCTTTGCATCTCTACAGAAAGATATCTTCATTTTATTGTTGAAGAAATTGAGCTGGAAAGCTTCACTAGATTGCATACATCAACTAGGTTTTGTTGATGACAGAGCTGTCTAATCATACTCTCTATGCACTAGAGTAAATAAACATCTTTAGGCTTTAGATATAAGATTTGTTGTTATGTGTTAATTTTTAAGACTTATCAATGGAGTGCATTTTCTTCTTCAGAACAGTTAAAATTGAGATTAGCACTTCAAAATATGTGGAGATTGTGGGAAAGTATTTATACTTAAGTTACCTGATAATTTAATGTTAGTCCCTGCAAGAATTTATTATAGGTTCATTCTGCTATTAGTTCCTGTACTTTATTAATGGTGGCATTTATTTTTATTATATGTTTTGATATCTATGATTATTTATTCCAAAAAACAAGACCTCTCTTTTACACTGTGTTCAAGATCCGTATTGTGAAACCACCTCAAGGTCATTCTGGCACTGTGAAAAAAGCCTTTGAAGGGAATGCCCAAAGTGGACCGACAATAAAATTATAGAACTGAGAATCCATGATGAAAAGTTGCTTCTTTTGATGTGTCATGGACAATTATGTAATAAAAATGTTTGGTTCTTATAATATCATGGTTAGGTGGAAGTGAAAGCCGTTCCTGTTTCTCAGAAAAAAACGTCTTTACAACAAGAGCAAGTAAAGAAACCTCAAAGGATTCCTGGCAGTCCTGCGGTGACGGCTGTATCTTCTAATACTGACATGACTTTTGGTGGGCTGGCATCACCAAAGCTGGACGTTTCATATGAACCCATGATCGTGAAGGAGGCTCGTTATATTGCCATAACAATGATGAAGGTAATTTGTTTTACTTATCAGAAAAAAAATTATTTTTCAACATTTATTCATTTAACAGACATTTCCGTGATTCAAATTCAGACACAACATTACAAGTCTAGAGAGCTGTACATGCAACATATTTTTTTAGGATGATGTTATTTTCCTACAAAGGGTTTTCACTCGTTTAGGAAGATGTCTAGAGGCGCTACCAGTGATGAATCAAGTTAATCCAGTCGGGCATTGAGAGGGTTGAAAACTAGATTTCAGTTTCTGCAAAAGTACTTATCTCTTCAGTTTACCATGCCTCTTGGGACATAGCCCTTCAGAGATTTCGGGTTTACCTAAGCCTTTTTCAATTTGGGGGTTCTCTCTAATGCCAGACTCATCTCTTTTGGTTTCTGATATCAGGCTTTTTAGCTTCCTGATAATGTTAGGCAGTTTTAAAAATATATATTTCGTTCACCTTTTTAGTAATATTCAGAGACCAATGTTAGACTAAATTATTGAGATGGTCATTTGAAGCAGAAGTTAGGAATTTTGCCATTATCAGAGTGAAATGGTGAGCCATTCAAGGCATTCATTTATTTAGAGGAATGGCACAATTAGATTTTTGTTTTATAAAGATAATAGTGGAATATGGAGAATGTAATTGGGCAGATGATCAAGAGATGTGGTTTAGTTTAAGTCTCTTTAGGAGACTATTGATTGTTGACTTAGTCTGGTGAGATATGATACCTTCGACTAACAAGTTGTCAGAATAGATTCAAGAGATGTTTAGGCTAAATAGGGCTTGGAGGCTGATGGGGATGGAGTAAAGAAAAAGAGGCAGAAAATACAAGATGTTTACATTTTAAGTTTGAATAGTGCGATTGATAATGTTGGAGGAGGGGCAGGTTTTGGTTGAGGAGGATAATAGTTTTGGATGTGATGAATTTTAGATATCTCTGAAATGTCCATATGAAGATATATAAAAAGAAGTTAGATTACAAACCTGAAAGTGATCACAGTCTGACCTCAAGAAAAGAATGTGAGAATAATCAGCACTTGAATTACTTATGAAAATAAATATCTACTTCCTTGGGTAAAGAGAGAAGTTCTAGGACAGGATCCCGAGAAACACCAATATCAGTGAGTCTCAAACTTTTGACTACATCAAAAAAAATAATAATAATTAAAAAATAAATTTAAAAAAACCTACAAACTTTTGTCTGTATCAGAATCATCTGGAACACTTATTTGAAAAGGAGATTTTTCAATCCTCAAAAGAGTTACATTCATTTGATCTAGAGATTGATTCAAGAATTTGCATATCAAACAAATATGCAGAGTGATTCAAGTTCAAAACCTAGACTTTGAGAAACATTGATTTACAGGATAGATAAGAGAAAGAAAAAAGAAGAAGAAAAGGAAAAGGAAAAAAAACAAACATTGACAAGAATACTAGTCAAAGAGATAAGATATAAACTAGGACCAGAGCTTACTTTTGTCACTTTACCACCACTTTACATATAGTAACTGATTTAAACCACACAATAACCATATGAATTTTGTTTTTCCCATTTTACATATGTGGAAACTGAAGTACGGTGAGATTAAATAACTTGTCTAAGGCCATACCAGTGGTGTTGGTAGGAATAGTTTGAGGCACAGTGGATTGATGAAAAGGAAGAGAAAATAGCTAAAGACAAAATGAATGTAGATTAAGTCTTTCAAGATGTTTGGTTAAAAAAGAAACAAGACATGGAATTGAGTGAAGGCTTTTGAGTTTGGCATTGAATATAGAAAAGATTTGCGTGTTTTAATACTGGTAAGGAGATAGTCGAAGGAAACCATCCATGAAGATTGTCTTAGAGAGTTAAAATTAATATCTAGAGCTCAGATGGAAAAATCAGCCTTAAATAAGAGAAGTATTTTCTCTTTTCACTGTATTAGGAAAGGGAAAAGAAAATATATGGATGCTAATGAATTTGTAGGCTGTGCAGCTAAAAGGATTATTTATAGTAGAAATTGTATGCTTTAGTTTGGAGCTGGGAATGATGAATCTTAGGGTCAAGATTTTGAAACAAAAGGGAAGAAATGAAATAGTCATTGTGGAGAATTAAGGAGAACTGATCAGAAAGATTTTTCAGACATTCTTGAAGAATCAGTTGAAATTGAAGATAATACAGTAAAATGTGAATCATATGAACATGGATAAGATGATCATTTGGATTGATTCAATATTGAGGTTTTGCTAGATAGTACAACAAATAAATAGTAAAAGAAAGGGGTTGAGCATTCAATGGTTAAAGAAAGGGCAGTGGAACCTTGTTGTTTTGGAAAGGAAGATAGAAAATTCAGAGAAAGAAAGTTGGGGTGAGAAGGACTAGAAATCTAAAAATTGATGTACTAGAGATTACTGGGGAAGAAAACCGAGTAGACCATTACAGTTGTGAACAATGTCCTAGGTTTATGACTTTTGATTTGAGTAGCTGAAATAAAGTAAAGATTATGGAGATTATGAAGAACTTGAAAAGCTGATTTGGATGAATTGTCCTGTGACTAGTAAAGAATTTAAAGCTGAACATTCTCATTCATTTCAATTTTTATTTAAGGGGTTTAGTTCCTGGCATCCTTACCTCTCTAATTATTCTTTTAGTTTCCTATGAACATGCTTCCATTTGCGTAATTTCTTTTGAAAATCTAGTTACCAGAGCTAAGTGCAGTACTTCAAGAATGTTCTAAGTCACCCAGGGTTAGAGTATTTACAGAACACCATTACCAAACTGTCTTCTTGAGATACTAATTCATGTTTCAGGAAAGGGCATTTTCTTATATCCACCATTCACAGGTGCTGTGTGCTACCCAGTAGTGAGCCAAATACTGTGGAAGATGGAAAAGTGAGACATAATCTATTCTTATATCATTAAAGATAAGAATCTGTATTATAGGGAAAGTGGAAGTGGAAAACACATTGTACTGGGAATCTGGAATCCTGGGTTTTCCTGCTGTTAACACCTTTGTAATCTTGCTAGACTTAACCTTAAATTACATTTTTCTTACGTATAACTTTTTAGTAGGTGAAGGCAGCTAGATGATTTCTAAATCACTTTTGTGAAAATAGAAAGGGTGGGGGAAAAGAGGGTTTATGAATGGTGGGTGTGTATGTGTGTGGTGTGTGTGGGTATGTGCACATGCATGCTTCTCTTTGCTAAGTGGAGTACCAGTTACAAGTAATCGAGCAGTTGAAAACTCTACCTGAGCCTTGAAAGACAGTGATGAATATGGTAGTGTCAGGAATACAAAAGTATCAGGAATAATATGACAAGTTTCCTGTACCTGCAGTCCATTTTACCCCTTCTTTAATTCCACCCCCACTGCACTTCCACCCCTGACCCATGGATGTTGCTGTTTCCCCTTAAGAACTGGATCTCCGAAGGCAGGGCGTCCCCTCCCACACACTCCCTATGTGCACCCCGGGGCCCGGTGCACCGTGTGCACTCAAGGGGCCTGGCACACTTGGGGTACGGTACGTGGCTCCACCTGAGGTACGAGCTCAGGACCTTCTGCATGCAAAGCAGACGTGCTAGCCACTACACTATGGAGCCACCCCCTTCTACAGTCCATTTTTGTCTTTACATTTCACCATAATTTTTTTCACATCTTTTCATTATTTTTGTTGAGACGTATTGTTACAAGTGTAATTGCAGCCCTCTAAACCCTTCCCTGGATCCAGTCCCACCTCCTGCCCAGAGGTCACCACTCTCCTGAATGTAATAGTTCTCATTCCCAGATATATTTTCATACTTCACTGAATACAGATATTTCTATAAGCAGTATATTTAGAATTGTTTTATATGTTTTTCAGAAGTTTATAAAAATGTATCATATACACATATCATTTTGCTAGTGTTTTGCTCAACTTTATTTTTGAGGTTTAACCATAGAGCTGTAGTTCATTCATTTTAACTGCTTTAAATTATTCTAATATATTACTGTTCCATAATTTATTCATACACTTATTGATGAGCCTTTAGGTTGTTTCTGATTTTTTCACTATTATAAACTGTACTGAAATAAAGATCCTTCTATATATCTTCTTTTGTGCATGAGCAAGTTTTTTTCTCTAAGATATATATCTAGAAGTGGCATTGCTAGATTGTAGGGCATGCATGTCTTCCGCTATATTAAGTATTGCTAAAACCTACACGCTCACCGCAGTGTATCAAAGTGTTAGGTCTTTAATGTTCTCATCAGTGCTTGGTTCTTAACAGCACATTTTGATTATTGTTTGTTGTTGTTGTAATTTGCATTTCCTTGATTCCCAGTCTAGTTGAATAACTTTTTAAATATTTATTGACCTTTCAGATTTTTTTCTTCAGTGACTTGTCTTCACTTACTTTTCTTTTGTATCGTTTCTCTCTTTTGTGTTGATTTATTCCTTATATATTATAGATTCATTTCTCATTTTGGCTATGTGACTTAGAGATTCCTTCTCCCAGGTGAAAGCTTATCTTTGCCTTTCCTCTACAATGTCTTTGTTTTGGAGAAATTTAAATTTTTACTGTACTCAAATTTCTTCTAAATTTGTCTCTGGCATCATTTGTTACATTTGGGTCTTTGACATACCTAGAACTTATTTTTGTAAGTGGTGTGATGTAGGTGATTTAGTTTTTTCTTTTCCTCCTACATGGATAACTGTTGCAGCACTGTTTATTGAATGTTTTATCACAGCATTAATCAAGGATGTTTCTAATAATTTTGTGATTGCTACTGGTCTCTTAAAGGTTTATGAAAATTACTCGTTTGAAGAACTGCGTTTTGCATCACCAACTCCTAAGAGGTAAGGATTATTTCCTCAAAGCATGTCCAAAACGTGTTGTCAACTACTTGCATCCTATATTTCAACTTTATTTTCCATAAATGAATATTTTATACCATTTTTAAAAATTTCCAATAAAATTTATCACAAATTTATAATATATAGATTTATAGTTAGAATGTATTTATATTCAACTGAATTATTGCCAATATGTTACATAATACTAAGGTACTAGAGAAAGAATAACTGTTACCTAAAACATAAATTGGCTTGTTTAGGGTTGGTTAGTTTGTGGGGTTTTTTTCTCCCCTGTTTTTGCTTCCCTCTCTCCTTCACCTAATGAATTGCAGAGTGATTTCAGTGTTCTTTTGATTATGAGGTCTTAATTTTCAGCCTCTGAGTAATTCTGTTAATTTTGGAATTAAGCAGATTTTTTGACTTACTATTTTATTTGCTGGTTAGGAGAAGTACTTTTTTAAATAGATGCTTGGAAAAAAATATTAGATGGGTTATACTTTAGAGAAACCACCTCCATGGAATTTAGAAAAAGCTCCAAAGTTATTCTGAAAAAGCATAATTACTTATACATTTCATTGTATCACACATATCACATGACTTATTAGAAATTAACATGTTGCTATGACTTTAAGCAGGGGAGTGATATAATCTGATTTATAGTTTTAAAATATCAGTTTGGCTATTCTTAAGAATGAATTACAGGGGAGCAAGAGTGGGAACAGAGAGATGAGTTCAATTATTAAATTGCTTGGACTAGGAGTAGAACAGAGTTAGCAGTAGAAATGAAGAAGTAGATGAGTTTGGAATATACTTAGAAGATAAAACCAATAGCCTTGCTGCTAGAATGGAAATAAAGAGGTGAAAGAAAGAGAAGAATCAAGAATGATTGTAGCAGCAGTACAGAGTATAGTACATGGCAATATAGGGTTTGGCCAACTTTGACCTGCAGACCGAATCGGGCCTGTTTTTGTAAATAAAGTTGTATTAGAACACAGCCTTGCTCATTAGGTTATGTATTGTCTCTGGCTTCTTTCCCACTACAATGTAGTAATTAATTGTGACAGACTGGTGCAATAGACTAAAATATCATTACAGAAAATGCTGTTAGCCCCTGGTATAGATTATCATGATTTTTATGAGGATCAAAAATCCTGAGAAACGAGCAGGTGTTTTTTTGTTCTGTTTTGTTAGGTGCTGGGGTGAGTGGAAAATAGGAGTTCTTCTTTGGATTTATTAAAGTTGAAATGCCGAGATGCCTCCTAGTTATCTACGTGGGGTATTTATGGGGCAACTGGAAATAATCAGTTTGAAATTCAGGGGAGAAATGAACTTGGGTCATTTATATAGAGATGGTATTTAAAACTAAGGAATAGATGAATGCTCAACTAGAGAGATGCTATTCGAAGAAAAAAAGAAAACCTAGACCCAGATCCTGGGGCATTCCACAGTTAAAGAGTAGTCAGAAGAGGGAGAGCCAACCAAACACTGAGAAAGAGTGGCCCGCGAGATCAGAGGAAAACCAGGAGAATGTTGGAGAAGGAAAAAGAGGTCATTTCAAGAGTGTCGGAGTTGTCAGCTATCAAGTCTCAGATTGCTAAGGACAAAGAAAAAAACATTGAATTTTGGGATGCAGTAGTCATTGATTACCGATATAAGTAATTGCAATGACGTGTTGGAAACAAAAGCCTAGGATAAGTTGTGAAAGAGAATTGGAAGTGAAGAAATGGGGACTGTGATTATAAATAATTCTTTAACTAAATTTCTATATTAATGGGAAAAGAGATATGAGGCCTCATTTGAAAGGGCTGTAATATCAAGAGGAGGTGTTTAATTGGGAAATTCTGAAGTTTTTATGGAGATGAAGTAGAAATAGAAATGACAGTGTTTCATCTTTTCTTACGGCTGAGTAATATTCCATTGTATGTATGTACAACAACTTCTTTATCCAGTCATCTATTGAAGGACACTTTGGTTGCTTCCATGTCCAGGCCACTGTGAATAATGCTGCTATGAACATTGGTGTGCAAATATCTTTTCTGATATGGCTCTTCAAGTCTTTGGGATAAATACCCAGTAGAGGGATTGCTGGATCATATGGTAGATCAGTTCTTAGGTTTTTGAGGAACCTCCATACTGTTTTCCATGGTGGCTTTACCAATTTGCATTCCCACCAGCAGTGTATGGGGGTTCCTTTTTCTCTGCATCCTCTCCAGCATTTGTTATTACTTGTCCTGTTGATAATAGCCATTCTGACAGGTGTGAGGTGGTATCTCATTGTGGTTTTAATTTTCATTTTCCTAGTAGCTAGTGAAATTGAGCACCTTTTCATATGTCTATTAACCATTTGTATGTCTTCTTGAAAGAAGTATCTGCTCAGGGCCTCTGCCCATTTTTAATTGGATTTTTTTTTTTTTATTGTTGAGTTGTATCAGTTCTTTGAATATTTCGGATATTAGGCCCTTATAGGAGGCACTGTTTACAAATATGTTCTCCCATTCAGTTGTTACCTCTTTACCTTGTTGACAGTTTCTTTTTCTGTGCAGATTTCTACTTTGATACAGTCCCATTCGTTTTCTTGTGCTTTTACTTCCCTTACTTTTGAGGTCAAATTCATAAAATCCTCTCTAAATCTAAGGTCTATGAGTTTAGTACCTATGCAATTTATTGTTTCAGGTCTTATATTTTAGTCTGTGGTCTTTTTGAGTTTATTTTGGTGTATAGTGACAGATAGCAGTCTAGTTTCATTCAATAGCATAGATGGATCTTGATATTATCATGCTAAGTGAAATAAATCAGATAGAAAAATTTGAGAACCATATGATTTCACTTTTTTGTGGTATATAAATCTGAAAGCAACAAATGAACAAGACAAACAGAGACTCATGGACACGGAAAACAGCTTAGTGGTTACCAGAGGGAAGAGAGGAAGGGTAGAGGTAGATGAGGGTAAAGGGGGTTAAGTATGTGGTGACAGAAAAAAAATTTAACTTTGGATGGTGAACACAATATACAAATGATGTATTATAGAATTATACACTTGAAACCTATATGATTTTATTAACTAATGTCATTCCAATAAATTTAGTAAATAAAAGAAGAAAAAATATAAATGATCCAGTAAAATGGGAGAAATTGACAATGAATGAGAGAAAGCAAGGTAATTGCAGCACAGAAATGCTGAGGAATGAGATTCACAGCACAAATGGAGGGGCTAGCTTTGAATCAAAGACCCAGGATATTTCTTCCATTGTAGCAGGAGAAGACATAGAGGAAAGTAGGTTTATTAATTTGATTGCAACTTTGAGGTTGTATCTCTTGCTTCAGTTTCTCACTGAAGAAGGTGATGTCATTATCAGCAGAGAGTGAGGAAGAGGGTTGATGGAGATTTCAAGTGAGTAAACAAAAATGAAATTTAGTCATTTTGGAGAGTAGGAAAACATGCTATGATGGCAGGGCAGTAGGATTGCCATTTATTGTAATAATACAATCAGAAATTAAATTTTTGTTGATATATCTTAGTGATGTTGTCAGCTGTTTAACCAAAAGTAAATTTTCCAATATTCGTCGTCTTTCTTTCTAGACCCAGTGAGAATATGCTGATCCGTGTCAATAACGATGGCACTTATTGTGCAAACTGGACTCCAGGAGCTATTGGACTCTACACTATTCATGTTACCATTGATGGCATTGAAATAGGTATTTTTTTTTTTTAAATTATGAGTTACTTAGTACAAAGAACTAGAATCAGAATCATCTTTCTGTTCTTTAACTTGTATCATAGACATGGACAGGTTTCATAACTTATATGGGACTTCATTTCCTCTTTTATAGTGAGTACTGACTTAGTACATTCATAAGGTCTTAAAATTTTGTAATAATTTGTGGTGTCATTACAGCCCTCATGACTCCTTCCCTCCACTCCCTAAGGTGACTGGTCAGGAATGATCTCCTCCATGATGCTGTATAACTATGTATACCTCGTCCCCCCTCGTGGTACATCTTTCTTCCTTTCCTGGCTGTGAGCAGAGACCATCTCACTTATCTTTGGATCTCCTAATCTAGCTCAGTGTTGAATGAATGAATTTTCTTCATCCACCACTAATTTTGAAAAGTATACTGCTTTTCCTTTAGACATTACTCTTTTTTTATTATTATTTTTAGAACTATTCATATAACAGAACAACAGTAGAACAATACTCTATTAAAGTGTTTATCAATATGAATTCCTTGTGACACTGTCTTTCCTAATGTTTCTCAACAAAAAGAGTTCCTATGATTGGGTAGATTCAAAAACCTAGTATAATGTAGTCTCATCTTGGACATTTATACAATTCACATTAACATATTAGGGATTCTGAGAAGTCCTAAAATTAAGAATCTTGTCTAACTTTGTTTAACCCTTACATGAGACCTTTGCATGTGGGGAAGAGGGAGACAGGGTAGAGATATAAGTAATACAATTAAAAGTCCACCAAAATACCCTTTGGGCAACTCTGGTGTAAATAGTTTGTTTTTACAGTGACGGTAAAGAGGTACTTCACATTGATGTAACTATGCAGAATATATATTAACGTATCTGTGTAGAATGAGATATAGTGAATATATCTGTAACATTCCAGAGACCTATTGTTTTCAGCCTTTGCTACACTATCCTTTATTTCAACATATCCATAAAGCCTTTAGTTGAGCAAAGTTTTGTTGGTTTTGAGCAAACATTATTCTGGGTAAGACAATTCTGTTAACTGTTAACAATTTATTGATGGTTGGGAGATAAAATAGGCAAACAAAATTATATAAGTAGCAACATGCAAGAGGTACACATTACAAGAATCAAAAGCAGACAGAGTTCAGAACAGCTTCATCTTCACTAATAGTGGTATGAAAGAAACTGATAACAAAGTAGATAAGAAAAATCCACTTAGATTTGTTTTTTCTAATGACACTGAAGAAAAAGATTCAAATTTACTTGGAATCATCCATTTTATTCCCTACTTTTCTAAGTCAACTTTCTCCCAAGGTGACCAAAATGTCAGACCAAATGTCAGCTGGGACCTTGCTTGACCATAGGCAAGAAGAGATAATAATTCATCAGAATAATTATAATAATAGCTAACATTTTTGGGGCACTTAATATTATGTCCAACATTGTTATATATGCACCTTATTTATTTTAAATTTTTTCATTTTCACAACAGCTCAGTGAGATAGGTGCTATTCTCGGTCACATTTTATAGATGAAAAAATTGAGGCACAGAGAGTCAAACAAATAGTGACAAACATGGGAAAAAACAAGACAGTCTAATGTGAGAACCCCAGCTTTAAACTGCCATGCTGTTTTTGCCTGTTAGTCATAGAGATGGTTGGTATGGATGATGGGCGGTACCCTGATCTGATGCTATGAGATATATTTAGTCATACAAAGGTTTCTTTCTTTATTATTTTTATTTTTTAGTATGATTTTCTATGTTCCAGATAAAGAATGTGAGCCCTGCCTTTTTTTCTTAAACTCCTAAGACACCCATTTGGAATCTCAGGGTCATTTTTCAAATATTTGTCTTTTTTAGCTATAAAAATCAATCACCTTGAAAAGACAGAATTCAGATATTGTTTTGTTTAAAATAGCTGTGAATGTATATAAGGTTAGGTTTAAGGATCTTCCCTTCCTTGTATTCTCAAATGTTACAGTTCTCTTCCTTTTCTTACAGATGCTGGCCTAGAAGTAAAGGTAAAAGACCCACCAAAAGGGATGATACCACCGGGGACTCAACTGGTCAAACCAAAGACTGAACCTCAACCAAATAAGGTTAGGCTAGAATGAAATCCGAACCTGAATTGGTTCAAGACTCGTTAACTTTCTTCATTGATGGATGCTTCATGGTGGCCATCAAACATTTAATATTTTACTTGATTTCAGTGTTTGAATTCTAAATATCCCTAAATAAATTTGAAGAGTAGGTCATTGTAATTCTAATCATTTCTAAATTATAGAACCTGTACTTTTTGGCTTTTTGGTATAATGCTATAGTAATTTATAGGCTTTGTGTACTTTCTGTTATTGAAAATTTACAACTAACAAAAAGTCTGCTAAAATTAAGTGTATGAAGTTTACAAGTTGAAGTATCTTATGCTGCTAAGAAAAATTAATTTCCTAACATCTAAAGAGTAAGTAGAGGAATTTTGGTAAATTTATTAAAAAGGAAACATTGGTAAAGAATTTATATTATGCCTTTCTAAGAAGAAAAAAAATAGCTTTTTTCTCCTTTTTATCATGGTTTCAAAATTTAGATAGCAAATTATAAATATATAAATAATTGCCTAATTTTTAAAAGTAATGTACATTTTAATACTTATAAAAGTTCTATTGTTATAAATAAGCCACTGTTATTTACACAGGGAAACCAGCTACAAATAATTTTGGAAACTTTCTCTGAATTAATAATACTTTCAAATCTGTTTAATTTTATCTCTTATGATTTGTGAGATCTCTGTTCCATAATTTTCCCTGTCTATCTTTGCCTTTCTCAGGTTCGAAAATTTGTGGCCAAGGACAGTGCAGGGCTCCGTATCCGTAGCCACCCTTCCCTGCAGAGTGAGCAGATAGGCATAGTGAAAGTTAATGGAACTATCACTTTTATTGATGAGGTAATTTGTAAAGAAATACCTGGTAATAAATTTTGGACAGAAAGTTTTTGTATTGTTTGCACAATAATAACTTTACTAAATTTTCTGTTAGAATATGTCTTAAGTAGTTTGGTAGTGTTTGAAATATTGTTTGGCAAAATGTGTTTATTGAGTTTTATTTTTAACATGAAAGGAACTCAGTTAACACAGTAGTCAGAACCTGTACAAGTACACACTAAAAATGGCTACAGTGTTCCTTAAATTTTTAAAATATTGTTTGTTTTTAAATGTATCTTACTGTATTGCTTTAACATTAACAGTATATTTTTCTAATTATATAACTTATTATTAAAATTGAGGGGAAGGAAGACTTATGTTCTCTTGGGAAACATCTGATTTTATGTTTAAGCTGTTTATCTTAAAGTGTGATTTCTTTGAGCTTTTATCCTAAATGATACTGTTTTTTCCATCTCGACATGCGATTTATAATATTGCTTGGCATTCCTTGCTGCTTTTTCCTTAAAGGTTCTCTCATACTTACCTTCTGCAAAAACTAGATGCTTAATCTCCATGTCCACCATTATTTGCTTGCTCTGTAGCCTTTCAGCCCTCACAAGCCTCATAGGAGTTACAAGAAGGCATGGCTTGTTTTTGTTGCTTATTTCCATAGATCCACAATGATGATGGTGTATGGCTGAGACTGAATGATGAGACCATAAAGAAGTACGTTCCTAACATGAATGGTTACACTGAAGCCTGGTGCCTGTCTTTTAATCAACATCTTGGCAAGAGTCTCCTGGTCCCTGTTGACGTAAGTAAAAGGTGGTTTTAACAAGCATTATAGGTACACTCTGTCCTCATTACACGGCTTTCTTTAATTAAGGCTTTTCAGTTCTGAGGTAAACCACAACTAAATTACTTTTACTTTATAAGTGCTCGATTTCTTGTGAGCTTCTGTGTAATGAAGGTGGAGTTTGGCAAGGCTGAGGCCCTTAATACTTATGATCCATCACAGGCAGAAAGTAGCAAATGAAAACTAGTCTACTGAGTTCCTTTCAGAGAGGTACGGTTGCATATTTCCTTTTCCTTTCTTATTATACACACTACTGTTTGGAATGAATTCCAAACTAAAATTTGTAAATTCAGATTTATTATACATTCAAAAACGTGTATAACATTTGCTTTTTATGTTGGCGTTTTGTAATTATTTCTCTGTGTCTTGTCTAAGCGTGAATCTTTTCTTTTCTCGGCTTATAATACTATTATATTAAAATAAGGCGGATTTTTAGACTTCTGGTGCTATAGTGTTTTAATTGAAGCTGAATCCTACCGTTTGAGAGAATTCATTGATCTTCTTGACAAATGCAGTAGAATACTTAAAGCCAGTATTCACAAGATTGGTATATCACTAAATGTGATAGTAACCCACAACTCTTTTTATAATTTAAACAGAAAAGTATGATTTTTCTTTTTTTCATCATCATCACATGCATGTACTCTTTATGACACTGCTAATAAACAGCACTGTGAAAATTTTATTTAAAAAAAACTTAGTGTTTTAAACAGTTAAATTTTTTAAAAATCAGTATATAAGTTAGCTTATTATATTAAACCATTCAATGTATTATTTGTTTTTCTCCATGATAGTCCAGAGTAATGATCTCCTAAGTTGCGGTTATATAGGATGATTTTTTGAGAAAGAAAGTAAGGGAACTTCTCTTTATATTTATTGACTTCACTTTTTAATATTATTTTGTATATGTTGTCTGACAGTAAGTGGGGAAAGATGTATGCATATATTTTTTTACTAATAGGTATATGATGAAAAAAGTTTGGAGAATGTTTACGTACCGCTCTACTGAGGATAAACTAAACAGTGACAAATCTATAATTAAAATTTTAAATTTTAAATCAGATCTTTTAAAATTATCCTCAGATTTGTATCTGTAGGTAAAAATGAAAAGGATTTTGACCCTCTAAAAAAAAGAGGTATTACTCTGAAAGAGATATAATAATTCTTTATCATCTATGGCTAAAAAATTGGCTTTAAATGGTTTGAAACCATTCTTTTATTATAGGAACCAAATATTCCTCAGGATTATGAAAATTTTATTTTAAATGAAATAATACAGTTTATTTTTAATTTCACCAATTTATACTTTCGTGTATATTAAGTCCCTAGTAAGGCATTATATTATCTTGACCACCTCCCCCACTCTAATTTTTTTTTTCCAAATTGCTTTGTTCATTTGAGGAGATGCTTTTATGAGAGGAAGATACTCACACATATAAACTAAGAAAATAAAAGTAGAAGTAAGAGCAAGAAGTGCTGTGTGTTGAATTCTAGATCCCGTGGCTTTGAACCTCATCTAAGACACAATTTGTAGCAGACAGTCTTCTTGAGGCCAGAGAGAGAAGGGCAGTAAAAAAGATAGGAGAGAAAGCTGAATGGAGTGAACCATACGGATACTTGTTGATGGGTTTTCACTGAAACGTGAATGAGGAGGTTATCACTGACTTATTTGAAGAATCTAGATGCAGAATATTGGAGATAGAAAGTAAAACGAACTAGCTTTCGGTATTTTCTAGCCTTTTTTCATGTTTAAGAATAACATGAGTTCTATTTTAATATAAATAACTCAGTGTCTGGTATCATTAAGGCTGAGGATTTTCTGGTTCCTTTATTTTAAGGATGATAGTGACTTGAGATTTTTATAAATTAAAAGAAACAGTAGGAAAGGGGTAAATTAAAGATGTAGGTAAGAAATCTGAAGATTGAAAAAGGAGGAGAAAATGGAATTCAGGCCACATTTGGAGAGTTGTTTCTGTGAAGGAAGAGAGGATATGTATGGCAGTAGATAAGTTTTTAGGGATGGAGGGAGAAAGGGAAGAGGTTGAAGGAGACCATGATATTTTCATAAAAAGAAGACAGGAAGCCATCAGTTGAGACTGAAATAAGTGAGTTAAGTTAGAGGGTTTAGAAATGTAAAAATTTAGAATAATGTTTATAGAAGTAGAAGGAAGCATCTAACAGAAAACTACTTGTTTGGTATTTTGGGGCCACTAAGGACCCAGTGAGACCACTGGATAGATTCTTTCTAGATACCCTTCCTCCCATATAGCCCTACGTGTCTAGAATTAAAGGAGCCAAGAAAGCAGATTATAGCATTAACTGGAATTTTCTGGGCTGCTATGAGAAAAAATTAGGGGCAAAAAGGAATTTCAGATGCTGTTGGAAGAGTAGGTGAGATCGCTACCTGGGATCCAGCCTAAATTAGAAATGCAAAAGGACAAATGGAGGGTCTAAGGAACTTGGACGACTTAATAAAATCCTAGAACAACATAGTAGGTGCACTATAGTTAAAGAGCTGGAAGGATATAGGCAGTTTGTGTGATAAAGTAGAATATTTGAATATGGCCCCAAACAGATCTGATATAAAGTTGCTTTAGTGTGGGTGTTAAATGAGGACCCACACAGAATCAGAACCAATGAATACCTTATTCCGGAGGGCTAAACATGATAGGACATAGAGGGAATAATGATATTTTCATAGACGGAATAATAATTCCATCTCATGCCCTAAAGGAACAAATACAGCTAAATAAATGCACCCTGCTACTTCTTTCTTTGCACCTGTTGGTATATTTACTACTGGAAAAAACACTTTATACCTATTCTCCCTTTTTACTTTAGTCCATTTGCAACTAAATCAGCTATAATTATGGCTTATAATTGTAAAATACTGCTAAGTGAAAAAAAAAAAACAGAGATTTGAAATAAAATTAGAAATAACCAAGAACTAATGGCACTAACTTAAGATCCAGAAGTACCGAAAAGTTGCCTTCAGCGATGTTTACATCTACCTCTTCAACCTTTTCTGGTTACAGCAATTTTTCTTTCACATCAATGTGCAAACCTTATTTGGATCCTGTCTCAAGTAAATTGTTGGGCAGAGTGGGGGCAGGGATATGAAATTTGAACGCTGACTAGATATTTGATGATCTACTTGAAAAAGAAAAAGATTACCAGAAATAATCGTGTTTAGAATGAGTTTTAAGTGATTTTTGTTGCACTGTCTTGTTTATTTAATCATATTATAGAACTCTTGTTTCCATTGTAGATATGTACATTAGTTAAATTTTGGCCTGGCTAGCAACAGTTCTATTTAAACATCATTACTAAGAAATAACGGCATCCTAACTTAGACTTTAACTCTGTTTTAGCACTGTAGTAATGCTCTAGTTTAGAGATTAAATAGCATTAGACATTCATATTATGACTGTATTTTTAAAAATATTTTTAAATTAATGGAAAGAATATGAATATGAAGGATACAGATCCTTTTTTGTGAGGTTCTCATGGTCTATTAGGACTTCTTTCCCTTCTTAGAACACTATGTTCAGTTTTACATCTTACGGTCTTTGCGTTGTTTCATTCATCTAGAATGCCTTTTCTTCCATTTTTTTTTCCCTTTTAAAATATTTTCCTTGTTGACCAGGATTAAAAATTTCTCTTGACATTTCTCTTCTCTGTACTTCCCAGTAATTCTGTAGCTATTATTTATTAACTGTTCATGTAACAAATATTTATTGAGTTCTTATTATGTACCAGATACTAAGCTGAGAAGTAGACGTTGGGTGGAGAGCAGAGGGGAGGGATACACAATAAATAAATGGAGTACAGTTCTCGCTCTTGAGGTACTCACTATATAATGTGATAGACATACTATGTTCAAATAATTAAGTTGCATTGTGATAAGTTATAGAATGGCTTCACTTAGTGGGTGACATTTGAGGATGTCTTGAAGAAAAGTTAACCAGGAAAAAGTGAAGGAATGTCTAGACAGCATCAAATGTCCAAAATTATGGCAGCATGCTGTGTTTGGGAACTGATAAATAGTTGACATAAGTGAAGCAAAGAATTGGGGATAGCAAAAAAGTGCTGGGGAAATTAGGTTTCCCTCTGCCTTCTCAGGTAGCACGGTGTGAAAGCAGAGAAGGCTTACTTCTTTCTCCAACTACCCTTTGTTTAGGTGGGTTTTTATTTTGCCTTCAGCCCACTTGTAATTATATACTTCTTATTTCTGTTGTTAAACTCCTTAAGGGTAAGGACTCATTAAGGATCCCTTCTTACTCATATTTGTTTCTTCCAAAGTGTTAATTACATTTTGTTCGTGATAGGCTTTCAACATTGTCGAATACTAAATTTTCTTCCTGGCATTTCGTTTGATCATGCTGCTTAACATAATTTCTAACACATTTATGCTCCTTACCTTAATTCTCTCACTTAATTTTCAGGGTGACTCTGTGATGTTAAGTATTTTATCATTCTCATTCTTCCAATGACAAAAGATAGCTTATCTCCCAAGATCGCAAGTAGAAGTAGTGGAGCTGGTTCAAAACCCCAGTTGATGTGATTAAAGCCCATGCTTTTAGGTTTGTCTACTTTAATCTAGTGGAGAGATGAGGGTTAATAAAATTATAAAAAGATAAAGTGAATATACCTATAAAAATCATATTACTTTGGCTAGAATGCCCAAGTTAAATAAATATGAATATTTATAACTTTAGGGGTTGAATGAGGATGAATACCATGATATATGTTGAAGGTGACATGGGTCAGTCTGAGAAGGCATACCTGGGGAATGTTGATTTTAAATTAAAATTCCAAAGATTTGGAAACTACAAAATGTAATCTAGTAGAATGTTTCATACATCAGGGAAAATATAAGTAAATAAAGAGAGGATTAGTTATACAGGTGACACGAGAGACATTTGATGGCCTAGAATAGAGCCTACATTTTTTGGAAA